CAAAAAAAAAAAAAAAAAAAAAAAAAAAAAAAGTATAAAAGGGTTCTGGGGATTTGCCTCCCAAGTGCAATCCCCAGTACTTTTAAAACAAACAAACATGGAAACTCACTTTGACCTCCTTGGCCCTGCACCTGCATGGTCCTTTCAGACAGGCAGGCTAGTTTTCCAACAGAGGGTCCATCTCTGTCCATTTAAGCTGAGGAGATGTGTGAAGATGAGGAAGTTGGAGAAGCAGCCTATCTTTTTTTAAAAAATCCTAACTTTTCAAGAACCATCTCAGTCTCAGCTAAAGACCTCTGAAAAACCCATTCCTGCAAAAAGCAATGAAAATTACCCAAAACTTTGAAAAATCAACTTTTTCAGAACTCTAGAAAATAACCAGAAGCTTATAACAATATGAGGAGCAAAGAAAAATGACTGGATCTTGGAAAGAACAGTAAGGTTTCCTGGCATTTTAACCTGGCTCATTCCCCTTTCCTCTCAACTTCACAAAAGAGAGTAAATGTGAAAACCAGCAGCCTAACAGGCACTGAAGAAGGTGGAATGGGTTTGGAGCTCCTCAGAACCCCCAGATCCAGTGGATTGTCATATCAGACTGTCTGGCCTTTCCTGAAAACCCCCATGGTGCTTAACCTCTTTTCACCAGACTCAGAGCTTATTTTGTGCAAACAGCTTTTCCCTGGGACATTTCTTGAAAACAGCCAGCAGCACTTTGAAATAACATGGAAGCTGTGACACTTGGGTCAAACAAGAAGCAGATAAAAAAACTTAACAGGAAAAGCTACAGAATGAGATCCCTTTCCTGACCAGTGGGGGATGGGACATGTGCAAGACTGTACCTGTCCTTGGGAAGACTGAAGAAATCCCTAAGTTCTTGTCTCTAACTTACATTTAGGCTCTGTGACAGCAAGAACTGAAGACTAAACTGGCTGTGGTGATGCACATCTGTAATCCCAGCACTCGAGAACCTGAGGCAGGAGGATCACCCCAAGTTGGAGGCCAGCCTGGGGTACATAGCAAGACCTCTCAAAATATCAGAGGGCTTGTAAGGAAATCGGATTATTAGCTGACTACTCAGCTAAGCAAACTAACTTTTGTGGCCAACTACACAAGAATACAAAAGAATACTATGAAAATCTTATACCCAAAATTACATAAACTAGACAAAATGGACTCATCTGGAAAGAAAAAAATTGCTGAAACTAAAAACGCTGGAAAGCTCTCTAATGAGTAAGAAGATTGAATTAGTGATTTTAAAACTCCCTGCAAAAAATAAGGCCCAAGCCAAGATATCTTCAGTGGTGAATTCTACCAAACATTTCAAGGAAAATTAACATTAATCCTTCACAAAGTCTTAAAAAAGGAGAGAACATTTCCCAATTTATTTCATGGTGCCAAATTATCCTGATAAGAAAACCAGAAAAGACATCTCAAGAAAATTATCACAAAGATATACTGATTTTTTTAAAAAACTCAAAAAATTACCAGCCATGTCCTTTACTAATATAGAAACAGAAATCCATAGGTTCTGAAAGATTAGTCTGTAGTGTTGGAGAAAGGACACGGAGCGATTGAACATCCCAGCTTCCTTTTGGTGTGGTAATGGTCTTCTGGAATTAGTGTAGATCAGTACACAACTTTATGACTATATTAAAACCCACTAAATTGTGAATTTTAAAAGGATGGGTTTTTCCCTCCAATTTGAACATTTTCTGAACTAGGAGGGAAAGGAAGGAAGAAAAAAAATGAAGATACATCATGTACAGATACAATTCAGTGATAAATGTTATGTATATCTAAAATGTATCACTAAAATCAATTTTTAAAAAATGAATGGGTTTTACCAGATAAGTGGCACCACCTATAATCCCAGCTACTTGAGAGTTTGAGGTAGGAAGGTCTCAAGTTCCAGGCCAGCCTGGGCAAAAGGCCTTGTCTCAAACAAAATTTTTAAAACCAAAACAGGACTAAATTTTACATTATGAAATTATATACCAATAAAAGTGTCATTCTAAAAATTCTTTACACAAAGCCAGCTTAGTGGTACACAGTACCTGTAGTCCCAGCTACTTGGGAGGCTGGGTCAGGAGGATCACTTAAACGCAGGCGTTCTAGACCAGACCAAGCAACATAGTAAGACCTCATCTTGGAAAACAACAAAACGACACAAACATTCCCATGAGAAGTCCACACACGGTGTTTTTTAGTGTTCAAAAGTTATTTTTTTAAGCAAAGGGGAAATATGAGAAATGTTTCTCACCCAGTGATTTACTTCTGTGACCCTATCTTACTCCTATTCCCTCCATCCCCTCCCCTCGTGGCATCAAACTCTGAGGCTACAAGACACCCATGTGCAAGTCTTTATCTGCTAGTTTAACAGCTTTACCCACAAGCTGTGAGGGTCCCTCCTGCTCCACAGACAGCAACTTGGGCCTTCCTTTTCAGTCATGCAGAATGTCAGGGTTTGCCGGGATATGCTCATATTTGTCAGTGGTCCTTCCTGGCTTTGTCCCCATTCTGTGGGACTTAGTGGTCCTTTCCTCACATGCCTTAGGACCTGGGCTGTCCTATCTGCTGACTGTCAGAAGCCTCCACCAGACCTAGGCTCTGGTACTGTAACCCTGTATGGACTGCCCTCCCATCTAAACTCTTTGTGGATGTCTGTGCTTTTCATTCTGATTAATTATGAGTAGATTAAATTATTCATGCTGAAGGAGAAAATTACTGAAACGAATTTCTTAAAAGTATTGCTTAAGAAGGTATTTATTTCATACCTTTGTTCACTGAAAAGGCTTAGAAATGGTAAAGAACCACAAGTCACTCTGAAGTCTCTAGAAATATTTTCTCCTTTTTTTGAGGGGTGTGGAGAGATGGCCTCACCATGTAGTTGTAGTCCAGGCTAAATGCAAATTCACTGTCGCTCAGGGTGACCTTGAACTCATGGTCCTCCTGCCTCAGCCTCCCAGGTGCTGGGATTACGTGTATGTGCTGCCATACTGGCTGAAACTTTTCTCTTTGAATGAACCAGAGCCCTTGGTGGAATGTGCAATGCCAAGTCAGGGTTTTGAAACATAAAATGATCCTGAATGTCTTATCAGAGAGTGAAGATTCCCTCCATTACTATGAGCACACGTTGGTGGGACTTAAGAGCCAACCTTGTAGGGTTCCCAGTTGCTAAAGATGGGAATATTTGAGCACTAGAATAACGGAACGCACTGGAGCATGTTACATGTATCAAAATGCAAGAGTTCCTGAGGCTATTTTCAAACCAAAGGTCACCAGAAGTTTGCAAGGAAACCCAATTGATTAATTTGAAAACTGGCAAGAAAAAGAATCAAGCATTAATCCTCTATTTTGTGTTCGGCATACCTTAGAATAAACACATAGTGTGGAAATTGCACCATCATTTTGCAACCCCTAGTGGAAAATGGAGCTAGGAAAACAGTCACCTTTGCTGCTAAAAATATGAAAGGTTAACAAGAGATTTTATAAAGGGTGGATCAAACTTAGAGCATCTATTGATCAAGTTTGATGTCACAGAAGGAAACAAAATTGACCACAGGTCTTGATGTAATGTGATAGAAGAATGTTGTACACCTGTGTCACAATCCTGCTTAAAAACTAATTTGAATCCTATCCAGCTTCCAGTTCAGGTAATACTGGATCTCGAAGGATGTGTTAGACCACAACAGGATGCAAATGGCAGAATCAGACATGAGGGAAACACAGGGCCCTGCTTTCTTCAGCTAATAAATGCCGATTTAAAGAAACTTGGGAATCATAAACCATATCTAGTATGCACAATTAAAATAGGCTACTTATTAAAAAATGTTCCTCCAGGTAAGTTTAAACTTGATACAATTAGAACATGTGATATATTAAGAAAATATTTTTTAGGGCCAGGGATTTAGCTCAGTGGTTCCGCTGCCTGCCTGGCATCAAAAAAAAAAAAAAAAAAAATTTTATAGTTATTACAGGTATTCTGG